AATAATAGTAATAATAGTTTTATTATTGTAAACATAATAATACATGTAATTATACAAAATTCATTGCCAAAATAAAAACTTTTTGTATTTGTTAGCTTTAAATCGTCAGCAGTCCAAACATGCTCAGTGCCAGCCGCTTCTTTAATCTTCAAACATGATTCACTTTCCACTAGCCTCTAATCAACTAACCAGCAATTACTATCCTTTGAGAGAGCTAGGGAGAGACAATAAGGACAATGTGAACAATGGAAAGGGAGAGAGAGGATGAAGTGAAGAGAATGTGTACATAATGTAACATTGAATTAATTCTACATGTACATGTACTAACCTGTATGTACTGTAATTAGTGCATGGATTGGTGAGCCTAATAACACTCCATCTCATCCCATAGCTTTAACTGTAAAGAAAGAGAGAAGATGGAGAGAAAAGGATAACAAAAAATTTTTTAAATGAGGCTATTATATTAATTTATAACAGATTCTGATAATGAGCTGCACTTTAAAATCCTTGTAAAGAAGGATGGGCCAATTTTATTGTACATGTAACATTAAATCAATGACCTCAATCCTCATACTACATCATGCACGTAAAAAATTTGAACCAAGTCCAATCAATAAAAAATAACAATTACTTTTCTTATTATCAGCTTTCAAGTAGCGTAGCATCCAATAACACTGGTACATGTACTTACTATAACTGGCTCGTTATAAAATGCTCATAACTTTAAAATTATTACCGTATAGCGGGTTTCTTCTGTTCGGTCAAACTTTCGTTCTCCAAGCTCCAAAAACGAAAATTAAACCCACAAAATTTGCTGTGGGAGAGCTCAATCCGGGGTTCATCTTCGTCGGGTTAGCACTAACACATGTACACGTGGGTGTTATGGGTGGGGTTGTTGGGTGTGGCTCAATTCTTACAGATCAGAAGGACGAAAATAAAACCCATGAAGTTGGATTTTCCCCTAGAAGACAAAAATTTGGCCGAATGAAAGAAACCCACTATACGGTAGTTGGAAACTTTCTACATGTACAAGTAGCAAAAGGACAACAATATGTATTAAAAAGTAGTAAAATTTGGAAGAGACTTTTAAGCTACTTATCAAAAGAACCATATGTTATCATCATAGCCTTTTAAAATTGGCTCAAAAAGTTTTAGTCCGAATTAGCTCAAGCATTCTACACAGTATGAGGACATCAATAATTATGTATCAGAAAATGTTTAAAAAATAGGCATGATTTCGGAGCCAATTTTTGAAAAAAGCATGGGCTGTAGCCCATGCTTTTTTCCTTGGTAATTTTCAAAAATTGGCCGATTTTTTAAAATGCTCATAAGTTGGCGGAAACAGCTCAAACTTTCTATATAGTATAAGGACATCAATATGTATCAGAAAATGTATTTAAAATTGAGGGTGATTTTGGAGCCATTTTTGTTACATAGTGTTGTGTATTCTTCAAAATCACACCGCCCAAATGAGAGCAATACATGCATGTATATGTACATGTAGCAACAAAAACAGCTAGTTGTTAGTACATTGTAATAAACTGAGTCAGTTAATACAAATCATCAGTTAGGGATTCAGTCCCGAAAGATGGTTAATGATATAATGTTGTATCATCATTCTCAGTTAATACTTGATTTGAAAGAGATAGAATTAATCAGAGTAATATGCAGGGTTTCCTACAAAATTTTGGCATAATGCTCCTGCAGCTTCTTTTCAGTGGATTAAAAATTGGGCCAAATATCCTGTACTTTAGTACAGGAATTTTCATCGAAATTTTGTCAAAATTGACTAAGAGAGAATTTTCCATTTTCATGATTTTTCTGATATATATATGTGTTCTTATAATGTGCTGAAAGTTTTAAGTGATTCCAATCAAGCTTGGATTTTTTTGCAAATTTTAAAAGTTGCTCAAAAAATTGGGCTAAACTGTGGCACAATTTTGCCGAAAATGAAAACGAGAAAAATTCCCATTTTTATAATTTTTTCTGATACATATACATGTACATGTACTTATGTTGTGTAGAAAGTTTGAACTGATTCTGATAGTGTTTGGATTTTATACAAATTTTTAAAAGGTGGTAAAAATTGGGCTATGGTCCCTGTACTACATAAAAATGGCTCAAAAATACCCTCTATTGTTGTTACATTTTCTGATGCATATTGATGTACATGTACATGCATCGTGTGTACATGTTACGTGGCATATTCATGTAGAAAGTTTTAATAACATACTTTATGCTGACTATCTTGTGATGCAGAAAGTCCGAGAGGTAGAGAGGTGTATGATCAATTCAATCCTGTGGGTCATGATATGGGCTTCAGTTTGAAAGGTCACCGGAACACACAAAGGTCAAATCAACCTCCTGAATACTTAGAAAATTTAAAATTATATTTTTACTAAAAACTTATTTTGTACCCGATTGACACTGATGTAAAATTTGACTCAATATAGGCACTGACACTATCAACAGAAGATTTAATTTTTATCTAAAAGTTCGTGACATCATAATTACACCACGCAGTATGTTACTAACTTTAGCTTCAATGCAACACCTGCTAAAATCAGCTCCCTTGCAGCTTGTATGTTTTAAGTGGACGTGGCTTATCGTAACTAATGGCAACAACTTCAATGAGCACCTTCTTTTGAACAATTTCTAAAAAAATCACCTACAAGATGGAGAGAGAGTGGTACTATACATTATTAAATTATTAAGTACTGTCTTGAAGTCAAAAAAGTCCAGGAACAAAAGAAAGAGAAAAAGCTCAAAGGACTTAAGAAGTCCAACACGTGGTCCATCCAGTGCGGCAAGTCAATGTGCGCATGCTCATACCCACGTGGTACCATGCGTGGTACACACCCTATAAGACGGTGTGGTTTGGGTGTGGTCTGTTAGGAGACTACTGATTCAGAGTACTGATTGTACTTGTTTGTCTTTAACTCCATCAGCAATTCAGCATTCATTTTGGAGTTCCTATTGAAGCACAGAAACTAATATTTAAAGGTCAGTTATTAACGATTCTGTATAATTGAATCTCACAGAGTTAATATGATACTGTACTTGTACATGTACATGATATGTACATCGTAACTTTTACTGTTAATTTTGTTTTTGGATGGAGATTAATATCTTTTTAATGTAATTTTTGTAATGTACCATTGGTAGTATGTACTAAAACTGAGGGTCATTAAGTAATCAGACTATAATACTGTATTAATATTATGTGGGTGTTAGTAATTATTAGTGAAATTGATTTGCTATAATATGTCCATTATATATTCCAATGGGATTAAGTATGAGTCATTATTAAATAGGAAAGACTCTTAGGAAAGAAGAGGAGTTAGTCAGTGAAGCAGGAATAAAGAATAATAGCAAAATAATGCTATTAGGAAGAAAGATATGTTGTATGTCTTTATTTTGAGCAAAAATTCTTTTTAGTTACAAAATCCATAATCATGCTATGTACGATCCACTTGTATTAATTTAAGTCAGCTATGAGGGTTTTATTGCATGTTCTTGGTAATTACAAATTTTAAAGTTACATGTGCAGGTACAGTACATGTACAAATTATGCATAGTACATGCATATGCATTGAAAGTTTCTGGTAAACGTATTACATCCACACAGACTTTGCTGTAATGCTAACTGCAAGTGCTTTAGGCTCACTCCTTAATATGTCTTACATCTTTTTCTAATTTTATTACTGGATAGACTGATCCAGCTCAAGACGAGTGTCTCAAGAAGCTGTTAGATGTACTAGCTGACAGGAAGTCAAAAGGTAGTCTAACTGGTATTGTGTTAGTTAATAGATGACCATAACCAAAATACTTCAAGTGTATGAGTGGTTACGTTGTACAGGTACACCATAGTCACATGACCATCACATGATACTGTATATACATGTATGCTGTAGTTTCATTAATATTGTTTAATCAAATGAGAAATGGGCCACAAATTTTGCCAACATTAAAAAGAGAGAGAATTCTCCATTTTATAGTGTCTTCTAATGCATATACAAGTTTTAATGTTGCGTAGAAATTTTAGTTGATTCTAATCAAAATTAATTTTTTAGAAATTTTTAAAGTTTTTCAAAAATCAGACCAAAGTCCCTGTAAATTTTGCCAAAAAATAAAAAGGAGTGAATCTTTATTTTAATAATTTCTCTGTTATGTATACATGTTCTTATGTTGTGTAGAAAGTTTGAGCCGATTCCAATCAAAATTAATTTTTTCATAAATTTTTAAAGTAGCCATGTACTATAATGATAGTGCTTGTTAGCTTATGCTGTTTAGGTCACTTAGCATGCTTTGTAGGAAGCAATGTACCTGTCCTGATTATAGAGGTGTCCATTATCTTGATCTATCTTAATTATATTCATCATTGTATATTTTTATAATTTACATTCTCTTTAAAGGATGATGTCATCATGGGTACTCTCTCTGTCCGTGAGAACTTGTACTTCTTAGCTGCTCTGAGGCTACCGAACAGCATGAAGTGGGCAGAGAAAAAGAGACGAGTAGAAAAAGTTATTGGAGAGCTAGGACTAACTGGATGTGCTGATACTAAAGTAATGAAAAGAGAAATAAGAGACAGAGAGAGAAAGCTTCAGATTTCTAAATGATTAAGTGTTTTACCACAAAATTTGCTATGAAACTCACAAATTGCTACCTTTAGATGCTACTATGAAGTTTTAAGATCCAAGTTCAGGTACAAAATTATTGGTTACATTGTTTTACATTTTGCATTATAAAAGTCAATTTCATGTTTACAGTAGCTATAAGTATAAACCATGCTACAATGCATAAATTAAATGTAATTATTCAATGTATTTACTATAAGCTCTAAATGTATACAGGTTGGCACTGAATTCATTCATGGTGTCAGTGGAGGAGAGAGGAGAGGACTAACATTGGTATGGAGCTGATA